ACAGCCGCCACAATATCCAGCGCCACCTAAGGATGTCCCCAGAAGTTTCATTGCAAGATTACCTGCACCCCACGTACGTGTCCGTCGGGGCAAAGAGTACCTAGAAGCTCTTCCTCCCGTTATTGACTTCTGGGAGACATTTGGCCTTGAGCCAGCTCATGGGCCAAAGAATATCTCCGCCTATTGCATCCACCCACATGCTGCCTCGCAAGCAGCAGATGTGTTTTTGCGACGGTTTGGTCTTCTCTATCAAAGCTGCAGCCTTGGAAGCCACACTCGCGGAGACGATTCTGTGGGATTCGAAATGGGGTTGAAGTCATGGCAGTCTGAACCATCCAGTTACGAGTCTATGATGCTAATTCTGAAGGACATATGCGAGGAGCTTGGAGCGGAGCTCTCCCAATCCCCACCCACGGCTGAGAACTGCGTCGTCTATATCATCAATCCCTTTACTCATACTGCGGCACTGGCTGATATTTGTTCCGCCTTCTGGCACCTTTTCCAACAATTGTTGGTCGATTCGGAGCGCCGACAGGTCCGGCCTGTCAATGAGCTTGTTCTGCAGATCATCCCGATGGAATTTGTCATGTCGAGTGAAACGATGGTTGTGCCTTCCCAGGCAGACTATTTGAATTTGGCCTTGGAGGTGTACGGTCGATGTCGTCCAAGAGAGGGTGATACAAGTTCTTTGCTTTGTACACCACCGATGTTTCTAGCCGATCCTCTCCCAAGAGCCATTAGCTTTCGACTTGCGCCTGAAAGGGCTTCGCCACTCCAGGATGGACGAAGCCTTCATATTGCCTGTTCCAGGAGTCTAGACCAACGCTGGATATCCGTGGCTTGGTCCGATGTGCCTGGATCTATCCAAAGGACCGTGTCTTATTGCCTCAAGTATCGACAGTCGAGTGCCACCCGGCCGATCTCCGAAGTGAGGAATGAAATCTGGGCTACGACGAAACGCATCATGGAAAAGATCCAAGCACGATGGAAAGTTCAACTTGTGGCCACGGAGCCCATGGAATCCGATGAAGTCGAAGGTATGTATCCTAGGATGAGATCCCAAGACTAAATTGCTGACAACCTCGCAGCATGGACCAGCCTCGCAGACCAATACAACAAATCACGACCCGGCTCATTGGAACTGGCCATCCTCTCCGTCAACGCAATCCCCGATTTAATACTCGAACCCCCCATTCCCCCAATATCAATGGCTGTTTTCAACCCTCTATCCTCAACTCCCGTTTCAACCCCCAACCCCAGCAACAGCGTCGCATCCCCTGAACAATCCGGCAACGCAGCAACACCAAGCAGCGGTGGCCCAACAACCTACAACGCCCCAACCCCAACAGACATGTCCCTCGAAACAGACTCCGAAGCCGTCCTGACCGATATATGCGACGAATCCTGGCTAGCAGTCCTATCCCACCGCCTCAACAGCTCAGCCCACCTCACTGATTTCCGTCCCGCCCTATCAAGCGGGTATCTCCTGCGCCGCAAAGGCGCCAACGATGGCGACGGCGTCTTTGCACTAGCTGTTAATCTCATCTATTCCCCCCGTCCTCCTCCTGTCCACGATAATGTCTTGAAGGATACGCTCAGCATGTATCGGGATATGGCGACTCTTGCTCGTGTCAAGGGTATTCGTTGTGTGCAGGGTAACACTCTGCCTTGGCATATTGCTACAGCTCTTCGTGCCCAAGAGCTATTGAGTTATACATTTTGAGCGTAGTTCTACATGGCGTTTTGGTTGCGGTATTATTACTCTTTTTGTTGTATGTTAGGTTACTGGTGGTGGGATGTTTTCATAGTTTGGGTGGGTAGAAATATACCCTGGAGCGAATGCATTTGATTTTATCCCATTGCTAGCTTTCTTGGACTTTTTCAGTTTGTAATACCTTGATTTCAGCAATTTGAACATAAGCATTCATAGCTAAGGCTATTTTCACCCATGAATAACTATCAACAGACATAGGCATCATGTTCATAACGTCAAAATAAAATAATGTGCATCCGATCAAGTCATCGTCAAAGTACATTCGAGAAAAGAAGAAGAAAATAAACAAAAGCACACTCAACTCCAAGAAAAAGATACATCAACAGCAATGTATGTACCAAATCCAACCCCCAAGCCAAAAAAAATTGTACAAAGTCAACATGTTTCATGAAACAAAAAAAAATATATATAAGCTGGGACTCGTCATCATAAGAAAGGGTATCGTGTCGCGGAAATGTTGTGTAGTCGTAGATGTAGGTAGACGTGGATGTGCATGTTGTAGTTTGTGGTTGGGAGCGGATGCCGCTACCCAGCCTTATCACCCACCATCTTCAACACTCTCCTCGTCACCCTTCTTCTTAGAGAAAAAGGAAACATGGTTGTTCACGGCATAGATAGCGAAGCCGGCAATGGCGAGGATGAGGAAGAGGACGATGATGATGATTGCGATGGTGATGTTGCGCTTGACCATTTTGGGTGGAGACGACCTGAGATTGTCGTAGATTGAGAGGTGGTTGGTCAATAATGTATGTGAGAACTATGGGGACGTTTGGATCGTTGCTCGTAAGACCGATAAAAGAGAGAAAAGCAAGGCAGAGCGAAGCAGAGCAGAGTAAGACAGAGGAGACTGTGGTATCACAATCGTTGTGTAGGGCACCAAGGCCTTGGGTGTAGTATATACTTGGAGTATATGGCCAACTTGTAGGGCCGACTCTCCTTCGAGAAAAGTCTAGGAGAGGAATGTGGAATCAGGGGATAAAGGGAGAATAGAATTAGGAATGTTCCGCGTTATAAACTGTAGTAATTTTTCCCAGCCATGTGTTTTTCATGGGGGGCTGGGGAAGTGGGTACCTGAGCTATACCTCCGTACACTTCCCTGAAACGTTGCATTATACGTGATCTCGATCATTTTGGACATTTAAATTAAGAATGGGTTTGTTTTGTTGAATTATCCGGTTGCAGTATCTCAATTCTACTTAACACGGGTTATCCCAGGATCTTTAAGCCTCCCTTTGTCTTTCCCGACTTCTTGACGCCATCATGCTTGACCTTGCCGCCAGCCTGGCCTCCCTTCTTACCACCACCATTTTTCTTTCCATTCTTGCCACCTGCGGCTGGGCGGACTTCTGTAGTGGCTCGACGCAGCAAGATTGGGTGCGATCCGATGTATTTGCCTTGCATCTCTCGTCCGGCCTTGAAATAATCATCACCGTCGCTGAAGCTGATAAATCCGTATCCCTTGCTCTTCTGTGTTCGCTTCTCCCGAATCACACGAGCTTTTTGAACCGACGGGTAGCGAGCAAATGCCTTGAGCAGAGAGTCGTCCGTGACTTCACCTGCCAGATTACCAACAAAGAGACGGAAATGGGCCGGGTCCCATTCTACAAGGGTATCATCGGTCCATGTTTCGCCACCACCCGATCGAACAACTGTTTTCTGTGATTCGGTTTGCGGGACAGGAGTACTGGTACCGACGGTGGGAGTTCCAGCACCTGTATTCACGCCTGATCCGGGTTGGGTGCCCTGGCGTTTACCGGAAGAGTCGTCAGTGGGGTAGGAGTAGGCACTCTGCCATTGCGCGATTTGAGCCTCGGTCTCGGGGTCGAATGCAGCATCGCGACCATTCCGTTGGTACCCCGAGGTCGGGGTTGGTGTGGACCCGAAAGGGTTGGGGATGTGTGGGACAGTCGGACCGTATGTGGGCTCAGTGTATTGGGGCTGTCCGTAGTAAGAAGGCCCGTTCTGGTATGTCTGGGGTGGTTGTTGATAGTGGGCACTGTAGCTGGCAGGGGCCGCATACGCAGCGGGTGCGACTGGAGCCGAGACTGCCGGGCTGTTCGTGCGATATGGCTGACTGGAGGCTATGGTGCGCGGCTGGAATGCAGTGAACGCGTTGTAGCCTGGGCGAGGTTTGCCGCCATTGCTTAAAGGTGGCTGCGCGGCGTTGGAAGATGGAGGTGGCCGAGGCGGAAGTGACGAGGGAGTCTGTTTGAGACCTGGAGGAGGCGGAAAGGACATGATGAACGGGTTGTCGGAAGAAAGAGAGACAAGTGTGCGATGTGCAAGTAGCAAGCGCAACGTACCTTCAGGGCCTGACTGACGCCGCAGTCATTCGCCAGACGTCACTTGAGACAGGACCCGAACCTTGAGATGCAGAGGAAAAGGCACTCAAAGAGAAGCACAGAAGCACTTGAAATGGATGTGATGTTATTAGTCAAGTCAGGTGTAAGCGCTTTCACTGTGAATGTTGAGCAAAGGTAGACCGGAAAGATCTTCGATGCGATTGACCGCGGACAGCGGTTCTGGGCCCTTTCGGCCCCTGTAATATCACATGACCTACAAGTGTCACACTGTCACATGATGTCAAGCTTCTTGACTGAATTATGACATAATCAGTCTCGACATCATGCTGAGTCACCATGAAACCCCCACCCTAGGCTGCTTTCAGCCTAGTGGCAATGAAGCCGGTAATGGCTGCGTGTCGGCAAGTGAAGAGTTTCTCCGTCGACCTTCACCTGAACTGTTCACCGATATGTGGAAAGCGTGGGAGACTCGGATAATTTTGTCCCACTATTCGCGCACTTTATAAGCAGCTTCCTGACCGTCCCTACAACTCATTTCATTCAATTGACGTTGCTACCCCTCCATGCCCCGCTCCCGTAGAGAAGTATAAGCTGCATGCAGGCATAATCGCATATAATTCAACGTTTTTGAGTAGTATATCCCGTACTGTATAGAACGGAGGATGAGTAACTAGCGGAAATGCCCAAATCGAACAGAAGCCGAGTGGACTGAGACTCGGACGACTCTGCTCCTGTACCGGGTACTTGGCGCTACACCGGAGACAGTTAGGATGTTGAGGTACCGCGTTACCCCCCAAAGTCCCACCAGATGACGGAACAGTTGCTCCGTCAGCCGGTCATTGAAATCCCCCTCTTTAACTTCTTCATCCCACTCTTCAACTTCATCTTTCTCTCCATCCTCTTTATCTTCACATCTAATAATCATGGCTGACCAGGCTGTGTGAGTTACCCCCTCTGCTATTCTGCTCTGCCCCTCTACCCTCTACCCTCTCCCCACTACCCCTCCATCCCGACATCATCGTGGTTACACACCCTGCGTATTGCAGAACGGAGCGCATGCATCCTCAATGTTGCTCAAACATCGTGTGGGAGCTCTATACACAATCTGTATAGCTATCTCGCAAGATGATACCACGGAGATTTCGCAGTGCGGTCATCTTCGGAACCCCACGGATTGAGCTCCTTCTCTTCTTCTTCATCTGAGATGTTTACCCAGCTATTGACAAGAGACATTGTTCGCTGACTATAGCGCCCGTCTCGCCGGCATCAATGTCGGCGCTCCGGCGCACATCGTTCCCAGTGCTGATTTCGGCCTCATCGGTCTGGCCGTTATGGGTCAGAACCTGATCATGAACGTTGCTGACAACGGTTACACCGTTTGCGCCTACAACCGCACAACTGCCAAGGTTGACCGTTTCCTGGAGAACGAGGCCAAGGGTAAGCTCCAGTGAGAACGAGAGTCCAATTGCCAATACTCATTTTTTCCGATTAGGCAAGTCCATTGTCGGTGCTCACTCCATCCAGGAGTTCTGCGCCAAGCTCAAGCGTCCTCGTCGTATCATGCTCCTCGTCATGGCCGGCAAGCCCGTCGATGACTTCATCGAGTCCCTCCTCCCCTTCCTCGAGGAGGGTGATATCATCATCGACGGTGGTAACTCCCACTTCCCCGACAGCAACCGCCGCACCAACTACCTCAAAGGCAAGGGCATCCGCTTCGTCGGCAGCGGTGTCTCGGGTGGTGAGGAGGGTGCCCGTTACGGTCCTTCCATCATGCCCGGTGGTAACGAGGAGGCCTGGCCCTACATCAAGGAGATCTTCCAGAAAATCTCCGCCAAGTCTGACGGTGAGGCTTGCTGCGACTGGGTCGGTGACGAGGGTGCTGGTCACTTTGTCAAGATGGTTCACAACGGTATTGAGTACGGTGACATGCAGCTTATTTGCGAGGTAAGACTACTTGAACTTCAAGTGATGAAAGACTACTGACAGCATCCAGGCCTACGATATCTTGAAGCGCGGTCTCAAGCTCTCCAACAAGGAGATCGGTGATGTTTTCGCCAAGTGGAACACTGGTGTTCTCGACTCCTTCCTCATCGAGATCACTCGTGATATCCTCTACTACAACGATAACGATGGCACTCCCCTTGTTGAGAAGATCCTTGACAAGGCTGGCCAGAAGGGTACCGGCAAGTGGACTGCCATCAACGCTCTTGACCTTGGTATGCCTGTCACCCTGATCGGCGAGGCTGTGTTCTCTCGCTGTCTCTCTGCCCTTAAGGATGAGCGTGTGAAGGCTAGCAAAATCCTCCCCGGCCCTACCCCCAAGTTTGAGGGTGACAAGGAGGCCTTTGTCAACGACCTCGAGCAGGCCCTTTACGCCTCCAAGATTATCTCCTACGCCCAGGGCTTCATGCTCATCCAGGAGGTAAGATTTCCTTTCCATAAGCTGCTCACATGATCTAACTTCTTTCGATCTAGGCCGCCAAGGAGTACGGCTGGAAGCTCAACAAGCCTTCCATTGCTCTCATGTGGCGCGGTGGTTGCATTATCCGCTCCGTCTTCCTGAAGGACATCACCGAAGCCTACCGCAACGACCCCAAGCTTGAGAACCTGCTCTTCGATAAGTTCTTCCTGGAGGCCATCACCAAGGCCCAGGACGGCTGGCGTAACGTGGTCAGCAAGACTGCTCTCTGGGGTATCCCCGCTCCCGCCTTCACCACCGCCCTCAGCTTCTACGACGGCTACCGCACCGCCGACCTGCCCGCCAACCTGCTCCAGGCCCAGCGTGACTACTTCGGTGCCCACACTTTCCGCATCAAGCCCGAGTGCGCCAACGAGACCTTCCCCGAGGGCAAGGACATTCACGTCAACTGGACCGGCCGTGGTGGTGACGTGTCTGCCTCTACCTACATCGCATAAGCGTGAGGAGAGGGTTGTTAGAAGGGTAAAAAATTCGGATGTTCAATGTATTTAGATGTGTCCATGGATGCCCATGATCCGTAACGAAGTCAATTATTTCTTTTAAGTTCTATCTCGTAATCCACTCAAATCAAAATAGTGGCCGGCTAGCCACATGGTGATCATCGATAGTGCCGCGTGGGGTCACACATGGCGCGGGAATATGATGGAATCGAATTGACTTTCGCCTAAGAGAAAATAATTTGAGGCAAGGTTTCTATGAAGTTGATCTGTCATGTTCTCTACTTTGTGATTTCCCCGCCAGTTGCCAACATATACAATAGTAGAGCAATTGCAAGATGTCAACGTCAATAATCCAAATGGTTGAAATAGCTAGTTATTATCATTCTACTTGTACTCGGTCGAACGGAAGAAATCAGGAGAAGTGGACACTAAAAGCTCCGAGAGTCTAGTAGATGCCAGACCCGCCCATTAGTTGCAGGGCAATTTCTACGGGATCTGCAGGGATCCGTTTAAGCCTGGAGATCTCGAATAGCCAAGTCATCCTCTCGTTCAAATCCTACAGTCCACGAGGTTTGACTTGATAGTATGCAAGAACGTCGAACTATATAACACCGCGAGATATCAAAACGAAGAACCTAACCCGGAGGTGATCGGCAAACCGAGATACGATTTTTGGTTTGTTAGTCTCCTTTTTTCCCTTTTTTCCTTTCCTCTTTTCCACTAGTTTGGATGTTTATCTTTGCTTCTCATATAACTTAAGTCCTTTCCCACGAATCACCCCGAATCACCCGTAGGGTGATTCATGATTTCTCTGCAATGATGGAAAAGCATCGCTATTACGATGTCCCAGGGGTCACATATCCCCTGCACCTCCTGGACGACACGAAATTCAACCGCGATTGTATAAGCTGGTCCATGCGCTTTAATGATGTGCTGGACGCGGAGATCTTACGAGATTCACTGTCTGAATTATTGGATATGGGGAATTGGAGGAAGTTGGGTGGTCGACTCAGACCAAAGGTATATACGCTATCTCTCCGCTCCAACTCACCTACCTACCCACTCTCTCTCTCCTTGTGATTCTTGTGATTCTCACAGATGGAATTCACAGGCTAATAGAAAGCAGCCAAACGGCAAACTGGAAATCCACGTCCCGTATGAATTCACACATAACCATTCAGCCGTGGCTTTCAGCCATGATACCTTCGACATGAGAATCGAAGAACACCCTGTTGTCTGTCGCATGCCACAGCCAACAAGAGGCCCCACGACACAGCCAATCAGTCATAATGACTTCCGCTCATTCGCAGCGAGCCCGTACCACCCAATTACGCTTGAAGAAATGATCCACCAGAATGCACCACCGATCTTTCTGCATGTCACTTCTTTTAATGATGCCACTCTCGTCGCTATCAGCTGGCCTCAAGTCCTTATGGATGAAATAGGCCATAAAGAACTTCTCCAGGCGTGGTCGTCGATCCTCGCCGGTCGAGAAGAAGATGTCCCCGATGTCTTGGGCGCGCAGAAAGATATCCTGGATGGGATTGGTCTTTCCGATGATGCCGGTTCTGGTCTTGATCAGAAGCGGTTGAAGGGGATGGCGAAGACGAAGTTTATTTCGCGCAATTTGTGGGATAGGATGTTTAATCCTTCGTGGGAGTTACGGGCTATTTTCCTCCCTAAGGAGGCTTTTGCGCGTTTGCGGACGCGTGTCCAGGGTGACATTGCTCACTCTTATCCGGGTGGTGATGCCAAACCGATTGTTAGTGATGGGGATGTCCTCACTGCTTGGATTACTCGTGCTATGGCTTCGTCCATGCCGAAGCCTCGTCCGATTACGATATTGACGTTTTCCAATGCCCGGTTCCGGCTTCCAAGTTTGTTTGACGGTGATGGGATTTACCTTCAGAATTTGATGTTGGGGGTTTATACGTTCCTTTCTGTGGAGATGGCTAGGGGGCCACTTGGGGCGATTGCGCTCAGTCATCGGAAACATCTTGACGATCAGAATTCAGAAGCGCAGACGAGGAGTTTGTTGAATTCGTGGAGGCAGGATATCGAGTCGACGGGCAGTCCGAGTTTGTTCTATGGAGAGCCGCAGGGGTCCGTCATGCTGGTTAATAACCTGAACAAGGCGGAGCTTATTAAAGCTGCCAGGTTTGGGCCGGCGGTTGTGAAGCAGGGTGACAAGATTGAGGGGAGGAAGAATCCGCCTGGGACGATGGTTACATACTATATTCATAGTCTTGGTTCGACGTGGACGGGGCATAATTGTTTGTGGATGCTTGGGAGAGATCATGGGGGGAATTATTGTCTTCAGGCTAATCTTCTGCCTAGGGCTTGGGCGGCTATTGAGGAAGATATACGGGATATGTCTATACTTATTTGAATGTACTAATACCCATGGCGTTTGTTTTTGTTTTATTGTTCACTTGATTTGCTGTGGCAACATTACACTGTGTTAATAAAGTCTTTGTACATACTTTTATATTTATTTGCTTTTGGGACTAGACATAAACTAATAGAAAGATTCATAGACTGTTTGAAACATAACCCGATAAAGCATGAAGCTCTTTGGCCCCACAGAACAATGGCTCCACCAGAAGATGCATAATGAGGATAATTGGACGAGTTTCAAGTCTGCCACTGCATCTGCAGTCCTGATCTAGTGAGATCTACGCAATGTGGGCCTTAAGCTGTGGTGCGTGCTTAACAAGACCAGTTAAATAGATACTGACGATGCAATCGAAGCTTTACATGTCTTATAGCGATCCAAACTGGAATGATTATACTAACTTACGCAACTTACGCATTAACTCGACAAGAATAGAGTTCAACTTGTATTCAATCAAATCCAACAAACTGAAACTATCACACTGGACCCAAAACAGATCTAGCCCATAAGGGCAGAGTAAGACGGAGCACAGGCATATCCCAGATAATCATCAAGTCATATCAATCATGTAGAAGCTGCCATGATCACTCTGCAATCGTAGAGATCTGAAGAGAAGAAAACAAAATCAGACAGAACCATGTAAACTCCAAATTCGAACAAACACACAGAAACAACAAACACACTCTCTATGCACATTGCAGTAACCAATCTGTAGCTGGGGGATTCAGTCTATCACAGCAAGCGACGCACGCAGAAGGACAAAGCATTTTAGAAGCAGGAAGACATAACTGGGGTGGAGACTGGAAACAAAAAAGAGATAGAACGGTGATAAACAGAAAACTAAGCGGTTGGAAGTGAGAAAGAAAGAAGTGAAGAGAATAATCAAACATGGTGCTAGGTAGATTCATAGGTTAGATCACCAGATATGGAAGTTCGGGAGCCCAGCTCCTCGTCTCCCACTACCACGTCGCGAGCCCCCAGCGGAGTCGGCACCGCCGTGGTTGCCACGGTTCTCCTCTAAACTGCGGCGCGAGGCACCAAAATCACTCATGGCGAAAAGCAGAGGCTCGTCGTCTTCCGGTGCTTGGGCTGAGAAGGTACGTCCTGTTCCAGGGCGTTGCATTGAGCCGCGACGGATCTCCATGGTTGAGTTTCCGCTGTTGCTTCCGCTGGCGTTACCGTCGCGATCTTGATCGCGCTCGACCAGATGCGGTGGGATGTTGGCACCTCGGGCTAGACTGCTGGATGCAGAGCTTAGTGAGTGCCCGCCGGAGTTTCCTCGACCGCGGAAGCTGGCAAAGCGAGGCTGGTAGAGATGGGGGTTTGAGGAAGCGGATGCTCCTGTTGGTCCGGACATTTGGCCGCGAAGAGAGGCACCATCCCGATATCGACCAGCAGTAGATGCAGAGGGCACGGTTGGGCTTTCGATGGAGGACTGCTGGCCCTTCTGAGCGTCGTAGGTGGTAGTGTCGGAGCTCGCGTATTCGTTTTGTGGCTGGATGGCCTCCGGGCTGACAGCAGGCCGGTCATCGGCCCCGAGACTGAGGCTGCGCAGACCGAAGGGGAAGATATCATCATCGTCACCCGTGACTGGCGCCCGGCGTTGAGCGGCAGAACTCGAGCGACGATAAGCAGGGGAGAAGACGCGAGGCGAAGTAGGAATGTCGATAGCACCGGCAGTAGAAGAAGGACCCTGGTTGCCCTCAATACTAGGATGCTCTTCCAGCGGAGAGTCGTGCTCGATACGAGGAATCCGTCGATGATCAGTCTCAATATCATCGGCAACGCTGTTGGAGCTCAGGCGAGAACGAATAGCGGGAGTATGAGGGGGTGTGAGGAGTGTGCGGAGAGATGGGCTTTCCTGGGGAGGATGCTGTGGAGATTGAGGTGCCCGAGACCATAGGCGGAACCCCGGAGAGCTGCTTGCTTGAAGAGATCGAAGGCCGATGTCCCTGCATAGAAGCTGACATGGAATCCGACAAAACATCATTGGAGTCGCGCATGGCTCGGAAGCGATTCAGAGCAAGTTGGGTTGAGGAGAGTCTCTGGGTACCAGACTGAATGGATGCCGAAGTAGAAGACCTCAACAAATCCTTCTTCGAGTCAAGCATTTTGAGGAAGTCGGAAATGTTTTCATCGTCTGCGTGTATAGACTCCGCGCTCGTTCCAGTAGCCTCGGCCAGTAGACCTGATCCTGGCTGAGCATTGGATGAGGTAGCACTCGCTCTGCCACTCGACTGCTCGTCGTCGAGTCTGTTTGCCCCCGCGGAAAGACGGCCTCGTCGGTGACTGAAGGAGCTGCTATATCGAGAAATAGGAGGAGCTGGTTTGGGAGATGCAGAATTGGAGGATGAAATGGCTTGTTCGGATGGGATGGAAAGAGGTCGGCGCGCAGAAGCGGCCGAGGAAGGAGGTGGCATGAAGCGTGAATCGGCAGATGTGCCCGTCTGCATGCGAGAGGACATATTACGAGGGGAGACACCCAAGGGAGAGTCTGCCAGGGCTGGGGAAGCAGAAAGAGGGGGAGCTTTGAAGGGTTGGAAGGAAACAGAAGGGCGACGAGGGAAGCTGGATGGGCCACTCTCGCCGGCGATTTGCGCGG